TGTTTTTCACGATCCAGGCGTAAACCAAAAGCACGTGTTTATTACGGGCAGTTTTTCTAGAGTTTAACACGTGTTTTTTGAGGTTTTAAAGTCAAATTTAAATGTTGCATGTTTTTATCAGTGGTTTCACATTCCTTACGGAAAGTTATTAAAATATAATACTACGTTTCCATAACGGTGAAACCATTAATACTTTAATTGGTATTTATGGTAAATAGTAATAGTTAATTTCACGGAATAAAAACCATTTAGGATACGTGTTATTCTTTTTGTTTTAGAAGGTTTTAAAAACGCAACAGAAACCAAGCGTAACTATTTTCTGAGTTGTGCCGGCTGGGAAGTTGATCCAACAAATAATTCATAACACATTTGAGTTTGATCCTAAATGAATCTTTTTTTCCTTCAGTGAACACTTTAGCGAACGGACGTGTTTATTATTGAACCTAAAAATAGCTAATAAAAATATTACAATTGGTCAATTAAAAGAAATTATGGATAATCACGAAAGCACAATAAAGAAGTTATTTAGCGACAGGATCGATAAACTAAAAAGCAAAAGATTAGTTATGCAGGAAGAAATTAAAAGTTTAAAAAATTAAGTGACCTGAAAAAAAGTGTTGAATTTGTCAGTGACAAATATGAAAGTTTACTATCGGAAATAGATGTTTCTAAAAGAACAACAATGTCATATCAATTGAACGATGCAAAAATGAATTTAGGAAATGATAACGTTATTAAAGATAAGTTGGCTGAACTTAAAGATAGGAGTCGCCGAAATAATTTGAGATTTAATGGTATAGAAGAAAAGGAAATTGAAACCTGGCAGGAAACTGAAGGTAAAATAAAAGAACTTTTAAAAGATAAATTGTAACTAAATGTTAATATTGAAATTGAAAGAGCTCATAGAGTTGAAAAAAAGGAGTTGGATGATAAAAGGAAAAATAGAACTATTGTTGTAATATTTTTAAGCTTTAAAGACAAGAACGCGAATTTGGAAGTTTTTTTTTTCATTTCATAGTTATAAAATTATTTAATTCTTAAATTCTAAAATGGATTCAAAGCAACAAAATAGTTTCATTTAACTTTTTTCAAACTAATGATTCTTTACTTGATAATGAATCCAATCCTGACATGAATTATTTTAGTGAAGCATGTGCTCTGCAAAACTGCTCTTAATTTTATAACAATGAATTAAAAGATTTTCTTAAAGGGGATTTTCCTAATGCTATTCATTTTAATATAAGAAGCTCAAAATTTTTTTTTTATACTTTTCATAGTAATATAGAAGAAACTTCTAATATTTTTAACATAATATGCATTACAGAGACATGGTGCTGCTCTGACAATGTTAAAAATTCTAATTTCCATCTTTCAGGTTTTAATTTAATTTCTTTAGCGCGTAAAAATAAAAAGCAAGGTGGTGGTGTTGTTTTTTACGTGAATGAATGCTTGCGGTTTATTAACAGGCCAGACCTAAGTATTTCTGATGGCAATAAAGAGGTTTTAAGTATTGAAATTTCAACTAAAAATACCAAAATTATAATTTTGAGATGTTGTTATTGCCCACCAAATGGCGTAGTTGAGAAATTTAATAATGATATAATTGAAAAAAGTATCCACGAAAAGAAATTAAACTACATAATTGGTGATTTTTATTTAAATTGCTTTGAATACCATACTAATAATAACATTAAAAAATTTTACAATGGCATTTTTGAAATTGTAGCGATACCGTTAATAAATAAGCCAACCAGAATATCATCAACATCATCAGCTATATCAGATAAAAAAATTACAAGTGACGTTTTTAACTTATCTTTAAAAAAAGGTATTATTAAAAGTGACGTCTCTGATCACTTTCCTATTTTTTTCTCCATAAACACAGACATCAAAAAAATTCTACACTAAAATAATACTTTCATTAAACGTTTTTTTACGGAAGCGAATTGCATTGCTTTTAAGGAACAATTATCTTTATTTTATTGGAAACACATAGATTCTAATGATGCTAATTTAGCCTATAATTCATTTTTAAAAACATTTTTCGAAATTTATCATATTAATTTTCCTCAACATAAAATACTGAAAAAAAAATAAAGATTTCACGTCACCATGTATTACAAAAGATCTCAGAAAAAGTTCTAAAGTTAAGCAAAAGTTGTATATAAAGTTTTTAAAATCGAGAACATTAGAAAGTAAGACAATTTATAAGAATTGCGCTAAAAAATTTGAAATCCAAAGAAAAAATTTAAAAAAAAGATACATTATAAATTTACTAGAAAAGTATATGGAGAATTCAAAGCAAACATGGCAAATTAGAAGCGAAGTTACAGGCAGTAAGAAATTGATAGCTAGCTCTCTACCTAAAGCTATTAAAATTGTTAATAAAATATTTTATGATCCGAGAGTGGTAGCAAATAAAATGAATGAATTCTTTTTTTTAGTTGGACCAAATTTAGCAAAGAAAATTTCTAATATAAATAAAATAATAAACAGATGTAGTTTTCTTTTAGTATCTTGTCTAAATTCTTTTGAATTGTCTTTTGATGAACTTGATAGAGCTTTTAAAATGCTAAAGCAAAATAAAGCAGTCGGTCCTGATGATATCAATGGAAACATTGTTATTTATTCCTATCTTATCATAAAAAACATCCTTTTTAAAATGTTTAAATGTTTAATTCAACAAGGAATTTTTCCTGAGGATTTAAAAATAGCTAGAGTTTTAGCAATATTTTAAGGTGGAGACTTACTTAATGTTAGTAATTACCGTCCAATATCTGTTCTCTCCTTTTTCTCAAAAATTATAGAGAGAATACTTTATGATAAAATTTTAAACCATCTTTCTTAAAATAATATCCTATACAAAAATCAATATGGATTTAAAAAAATAACTCCACTGAACACGCTATACTTCAAATAACACAATATATTACTGAATCATTTGAAAACTCCAAGTTTTTTTAGGCATTTTTATTTACTTGTCTAAAGCCTTCGATACGATTGATCATAAAATTCTATTTAAAAAACTTAAATATTATGGAATCTCTGGCGATGTTTTAAAGCTTTTAAAAAGTTATTTAAGCAAAAGAAAGCAATTTGTTCACTATGACGTATCATCGAAATCAAAATTGTATAACATGTGGAGTTCCCCATGGGTCACGACTATTACCTCATATACATAAACTTGTTACCCTAGGACCACGACTATTTCTCATATACATAAACGATCTCTATGAAGCATCTGATGTAATGACAATTATGTTTGTTGACGACACGAACTTTTTTTTATCTCATAGCAACATAGCGACACTATTTCAAAGTATGAACATAGAATTAATTAAAATTTCTGAATAGTTTAAATTAAATAAGCTTTCTCTTAATAATGAAAAAAAAAATGGTCTCTTTTTCATCCATGCTACAAAAAGTATCTTCTACCGAGTGAATTGACTGCTCTTTCTATAGATGATATGCAAATTAAAAGAGTACCGGCTACAAAATTTTTTGGGAGTTTTTATTGATGATAATCTGACATTGCAAAAACACAATGAAAACTTTTCATCAAAAATTTCCAAAAGTATAGGAATACTATTCAAAATAAGAAACATGCTAAATAGACATACTTTTGTTCAGTTATACCACTCTTTTATTCATTGCCATCTAAACTATGCTAAAGTGGCTTGGGGTAGTGTTAGCAAAACTAAATTAGAACCACTTTATCGCCAACAAAAACATGTTGCACGACTTATTAATTTTAAAAAATGTTTTTATCATGCTAAGCTTTTAAATGAAATGAATATTCTTAATATATATCAATTTAATATTTTTAATGTATTGTGTTTTACGTTTAAATGTAAAACATGCACATCTCTAATTTATTTTCACAATTTATATTCTTTAAAAATTAAAAATAAATACAATTTGCGTAATAAAAGTTTTATTCTTCAACCAGTTTTCAAAACTAATTTTGGTAAGTTTTGCATTTCATTTAGAGGAGCATTTTTATAGAACTAAGTACTATTAAAACTTTTAGATTTTTTTCAAGAATAGAGCTTTCTCTTATTCAAAAGAAAGTTGAAAAAACTTTTTTTCTCAATTGAAAACATTCTTATATATTTTTAAGTTTGTTTTGTTTTATATTAATACTCTTATGAAATTTTATTATCGTAATTTATATATATGAAATCTTTTTTCTTAACTTATATATATATATATATATATATATATATATATATATATATATATATATATATATAATATATATATATATATATATATATATATATATATATATATATATATATATATATATATATATATATATATATATATATATGTATATATATATATATTTATATATATATATATATATATATATATATATATATATATATATATATATTATATATATATATATATATATATATATATATATATATATATATATACACATATACATATATATATATATATATATATATATATATACACATATACATATATATATATATATATATATATATATATATATATATATATATATATATATATATATATATATATATATATATATATATATATATATATAAATATATATATATATATATATATATATATATATATATATATATATATATATATATATATATATATATATATATATATATATATATATATATATATATATATATATATATATATAAGTATATATATTTGTATGTTTTTATAGAATTTAATGTGTAAAAAATTATATTTTCATTTAAGTGTAAATATTTATATATGAATTATTAGAGGATTATTTTTTTATTTAAAATCTGTTTAGGCAGTTCTCGATGACAAGATCTTATGATCTTCTGCGAGTATCTGCGTTCTTCTTATTTTAACGCTAACAAAGTTTGTAACTTTTACTATATGTATTTTATGAATCTTATTCATTCTTATATTGTAAAACTTATTTTGAATAAATAAAAAGAACATAAAGAAAAAAAAAAAATCAAAAGTACCTTTTCATTGATAATCTTAATGCAGTGGTTTTCTTCTAAATTACAACGGTATTTAAAAGCTTCTATGTTGTTATTAACATCTTTTGAGCCTGTGGCTGTAGAAGGGACAATAGTCACAGTAATAGTCAACAATGTGTAGAAAAAAATAGTATTCATTTTTTCTTTTTTTTAACTTCTTATGTTTTATCTAAAAATAATCAATAAGAGACTTTCAAAATAATGTAATAAGAAAACATATTCATAAAACATATCACTAACATAAAGAATTTTTTTTTCTTTGTGCAACCAACAAGTTTATATAAAGCAAAGAGTTACATGAAATTTATAAAATATTCAGCTCGAAACTCACTTTACTCGAAACTCGCGTTAAAACATTATTCGAAACTTTTTGATATGCTTTAATGCGTAAGTAATAAAATAAAAGTTGAAATAGCACCAGAAAATTTTTTTTATAATTTCTGCAAAGTTTCTTTATTGAAATACTATTTTTTCAATAAATGGTCTATTAAATGTTATTTAAGATGTTTATTGGGTACTTTGCGTTTATGGCATTTTATTGTGGATGCAATTTAGGGTGCATTTTTTATTATTTTTATGCATTAAAGCATAACGATTAGTTTCGATTGATATTTAACGCAAGTTTTTACTAAAATTAGTTTCGATCTTAATAAATTAAAAATTTAATGTAACTCTTTCCTTTTTAGATACATATTGGTTCCAAAGAAAATGTTTATGATATGTTTTATGGTTATACTTTCTTGGCTAGATTTAAAAATTATTTTTAAGTCTCTTATTTATTATTTTTAAATACTAATACAAAAGAAGAAAATAAAAGGAAATGAAAAGCAATTTTAAATATATATATATATATATATATATATTTCAATTATTTTATTTTTAATCATCAGGTCTACCTACTAAAGACATTAGAGTAAGTCATAATAACACAAGGCATGCTTTTTCTGCTAAAAACCGTAAGTCATTTTAAGGACAATCTGCTTAATATGCTAGAACAAAACTTAGCAGGCTTTACCTTTCAGAAGACTTAATTATTTTTAAAATTTACTATATATATATATATATATATATATATATATATATATATATATATATATATATATATATATATATATATATATATATATATATATATATATATATATATATATATATATATATATATATATATATATATATATATATATATATATATATATATATATATATATATATATATATATATATATATATATATATGTATATATATATGAAGCAGGAATGTTTATAAATGAGGACAATTCTCTGGATATCCATTAAACTAACCAAACAAAAAAGAAATAAGGTGTAAAAATATTTTTATAAAACATTTTTCTATACTTTTTTTCAATGAACCCTTTAAAAAGCGCTAAAAAATTGATGACGACCCTCAAAAATAAAAACATTTTTTGAAAAAAGCGGGATCTAGTGAGCATTTACGATCAATGAACCAAAATCGATCTTGATTGAAAAAAATAAAAGTAAAGACGCATCTCAACATGAAAGCAGAAAGTTAGATTTATCAGTTTAAATTGAAGATTTATTGATTCATTTATATCAATGTATTAGCAATTGGGGTTATGGTTTGACACAAGGCAATATAATCTCTATTGCTCAACACTAGTTAAAAAACACAAAACCAAAAGCATTTATTTTATAATTGCTATTTGATAAAAGCTGCTTTTCTATAATAAAAAATTTGAATTTTTAGAAGAACCTAACGTGTTGGTTTATTATTTCAAAGAATAAAATTTTTAGAAAAAAATATTTGCACCACAGATACAACAAGTTATTTTGTAGGTAGTATGATGTATGTAATTTTGTAGTAAAATATGATGGACATTTAATGATAGTATGATTTTGTAGTAAAGTATGATGGGCATTCAATGATAGTTTATGAGAGGAACAAAATAGCTAAAGAAGAAAATGGGTGTATATCTTTTTATCAAACTGAAGGTGACACCCAGCAAATATGTAAGCGTTGAATCAACGTTGAAAACCAGTCGCAGCGTAGAAAAAGCGTTACAGTCACAAAAACAACGTGCTTTCAACGTTGAATCAATGTCTGTTTTTGTATACTAAATCACGGTAAATTGAAACATTGAATAGGCGTTGAAATTGTAACGTAATTTAGCCTCTCAAAATAAAACGTTTATTCAAAGTAGAATCAACTTACGCAAAAAGCCTTTTTAAAAACGTTTCGAAGTATATTCTTTATCAACGTTAAAAAAAACCGCTTTTTAAACGTTACTTTTTTAACGTTGAATAAGCGTATAAATTTAAACGTATCTTATCTTCTCAAAAAAATGCGTTTATTAAACGTTGGAAATAAGTACGCAAATAATCACTGTAAAAACGTCGCAAAGGTAATGGTTTATCAACGTTAGACATTAGCTGCTTTTTCAACGAATTTAAACTATTTGAAAAACAACACTTATTGAACGTTATTTCAACGTTGGTTGAAAATACCGACTTTACGAAATCTAAACGCCAACTGCAACCGCAACTTCTTAGGACAAAATGTTGATAATGCGCATGCGTGAGCCTAGGGTAATACCCTAGTCGCGTTTTAAAGTTCTAGACCGGACGTAAAAATTCAAGTTTAAGCGTTGCAGTGAAAACGTGAAATAGTTATGATAACGTCAAAAAGTTTTTGTGGTTTTTAAATTTATATCGTTAAGTCGGCTAATTATTTTTATTTTAAATCTGAATTACTAACTTTACATATGTGTGTGTGTGCTGTAATGATCTTATAGCGCAGTTTATCTTTGTTATGGAATCTTCATGTGGATCAATTACAACATCTTCAGCAAGGTAATATAACTAAATGTAAAATCTGACTGTCATACAAATCTGTGATTTATATTGTATAAGTAATGATTTTTAATAATTTAATTGATATGTTTATTAAAATAACTATTTAACTATAAAATGTTTTATTTTTTAGTTTAATGCGATGGACTCAGCTGCATGATTACACATTATTAATGGAGGTATTGACCTTCGAGCCATGGCAGTTTAAATGTGGATCAAAAGAAAGAGAAGATTCATGGGAAATAACTATCCAACTCTCTTAATGGACTACCAGAACCTTATTTTAAAGTTACTGGTAGATCAACTTGTGATCACATTAACCTTTTGATTGAAAAGTTTAAAAAAAAAGATACAAAAGAAAAAAATGCAAGTGAAATTACATGTGACTTGACAGATTATGATGTGGCTATTGCTGATGTCTATGAGAGATTTCAACAATCTGAAAGTATTTTTTAAGAGCAATTAGAGCATAATAATGGAAAGATTGATGTGGATAATGTTCAAGCAATAGAATTGCGTAAAAGGTCATTAGAGACACATAAGGAAACTGAAAAGCGAAACAAAGGACAAAAACTCTTAAAAAAGTCAAGAAATAATAGCAATGAAACTATTGCTTATTTAAAAGAGAAGAATGAAATAGAAGTAAATATTAGAAAAGAAGAACTGGAAATTAAAAAAAGAGAAGTTGAAGCACAAGTATACACAATGCAACACATTCTGCAGCAACAAAATACCTTGATGCAGCAACAAAATAACATGATGCAGGCTATGATGTAACAGCAAGCATCTTTTTTAGAAATTTTAAGCAAATTTTTACCAGAAAAAAAATAAAGTTATTTGTGTACACTTTTTTATATTTCATAAAAAAATTATTTAAAGTAGTCTGAAAGCGATGGTGGTTGGCAATCAAAACATGTTGTTGTTGTTGAACCATATAGGCAAACACGTGCATTGTGCATTAATGCACAAACCAAATACATTTTAGAAACTGGACTAGTCCCACTTTAAGAATCTTTTTAAAGTCTAAAAATTTAAAATAGTTAACAATATCTCCAAATACCCACTCAACAGCAACACGAACTTTACTCATATTTTTGTTCCAAATAAGCTGCTCAGGGGATATGTTAGCTCTTTTAAACCCACATTGTAAATTAACTCTATGGGGGTATGCAGGGTCTCCATAAACACACAAAGGTTCTCTATTGCTATTGAAAGAACAAACCGCTAATTTATTTAATAAATTTGAATTGGCAAGCATACCGCTCTCATGTCTTTTCCCTTCCACAGGACCGTATAGATTGGCAATTAAGCCATTGGGTGCAACTAGTGATTGGAACTTTATTCCGTGACACCTGTTATGTCCATTGTAAAGTATTTTTTGGTGCTCTCTAGGACGACTTATTGGTCTTAAAGTTCCATCAATAAACCCCCAGCAGTTTGTAAGAGGAGCTCCTTTAGCATGAATAGCAGCGGCAAACATTTCTAGATGCTGAGTATCTAACCATCCCTGATTTAAGTTGGTAAGTAAATGGCCCCATTGTGCAAAAAATAAATTCATAATATGGTTTGAAATCATACATAATTGTGGTACTGGTCTTGTAAATCGTGGAATCATATCTTGATACCTGCAGGGGTAAGCAAAACGTTTTAAAAAAATACAAAAGGCTTCGTCAGCTGAAATGGTGATGCCATTATAACACGTTATCTTCTCGGGAATGTTAAGAAGATCAATTATTTCGAAAATATCTTTTGATAAAAAACGAAATTCGCTTTTTGCTTCATCCACTGATATGTTGTCTAAATTAAATCTTGGATAACTTTGATAAGACAAATTTAAGTTATTAGATTTATTAACGTCGTAAAGTAATAACAGCTCTTCATCGTTTATTGTGTTACCAGAATTAAAAATAAGTAACTGGTTACGAACCTGGGAAAATTTTATCATATTTATTTAAAAAATAAAGGTTTTCAACTTTATTTCTTAGTTGTATCGTTGCACCGAATGAGATTTTTACTTCAAAACATTAAGGATTTTTGTACAAAAAAAAATCATACAGAAAAATATACAGAACTATACAAAATTACATAAAGTGACGTTTTCATAGTAATTTTCGTAACGATATTTTAATTAAAACGGCTATGACAACGACGACTTGTAAAATCATAGTTTCTACGTTCTAGTTCCAGTAGGCGTTTTGATTTCGTAAAGTCGGTAATGTGCTAATTAAAAAACGTTAAAAAAGTGTTATTTTGCCAACGTTGTTTTGACAATGTTGAGGAAGTGGCACATTGAAAATTATTGTTTCAATAACTAGCCGTAATGGAAAGGCAAGGAAA